GCGCGCAGTGTTTGAGTTTAAGCAAATTAACGAAACGATCGTCTTTCCAGTCTCCATCGATTTCCCGCGCGACGGTGCTTTTTTATTTTGCCTTCGTTCTTTCTGTTGAATAAAAAAAAAAAAAGAAAAAAACTTTGCAAATTCAATGCCTGCGCAAAGAAAAGTTACGTTCGCGGTAATTACAAAGATTATCGCGCGTTACTTCGAGTAATTGTGAAGTGGTACGATAACCTTGACAGTCTATATAGCAACTATGACGTCCATAAGCGATAATACCATGCTGATATACACCTGCGCGCACCTCGCGTTTCTATGTTAATAATAAAGTTTTGATAATGATATGGCTGTAGCCATGGGAGCTTCGCTGCGCCCGCAATATGTGTATATGTGTATATATATATACGTACATATAGCTTTGAGAAGTCATACATATAACACTGCCCATATATAATAAATCACGATTGCTCGCAATTAGCACATTAGTGATTGGCTAACTAAGCCTAAAACTAGTAGTCTCGTTACATAGCGTTGCGCAATCATCCGGCTAAGCTGGAAACGTTATACCGATTATTAAAACGAGCGGCCACGGCGAATGGCCGCGCTTCGATCAAGAGCTTCGAGCGAATTTATCCGTCGAAAGCCCGCGGCGGCGTGCGCAGATGCAAAAATAAAAGAGAAAGAGAGAGAGAGAGAGAGAGAGAGAGAGCGCTGGCAACAGTAAACGTCGATTGAAATGTAAGGTACTCGGAGCGAAAAAAAATACAGCCGCGCAGCCTGGCCGCCGCTAAAGATAGCAGCATGAGAAAAGTGGCAGCGGCGCATCTCGCGCGTAAAGACAATCGAGGTGGGTTCCCGTGCTATGCGGCGCGTCAAGGTAGGCTCTCCGGCGCGCAGCGAGGGAACGGCTTAGTGGGACGATGCGGCGCTGACCACGAGGCGAGCAGCGAGTCGAGTCGAGCCGAGCCGGGAGTCGGGGACGAGGAACTACAGCTCGATGAGCACGCGCGCACCTCGCGCTCTCTCTCTCTCTCTTTCGCGCGCGCACGGCGATGTCTCCTTCTTCAATCTTGTTATTCTCGTCGCCGTCGACGCGCTCTCCTCGTAGTCACCGTCGTAGGATCTTCGCGCTCGGCCGCCCCTCATTGTCCAGCAGTGACATTGTTTCAGTTGCGCGCTCGAAAAGTCCAAAATGAAAAGTCTCCGTCGGTTCTCCCGTCGGCTCGCGCTCTCGCTCTCTGCGCCCGCGTAGGCCGGGACTCGCTAGTCGGTAATCACGGTATTTCAGGCGACCAGCGCAGCCCAGCGTAACGAAGGTGTACCTCACTCCACCTACTCGGGCGGCGTGCGTCGGAAACGCGCGCGGACATGGGAATCTCGGCTCTCGGAGAGCCGGCGATCCCCATTAATCACGACCGAGCGCGAACGGGCTACTGCTGCGACGAGACAGAGAGCGCGAGCTTTCGCCTCGCCGGAGGACCCGTGCTACTGGGCTGCGGTTCCTTCGGGAGGGCGACGGGCCGATTTCGCAGCTGCGCGCTCCGGACGATAATAGGAGCGCGCCCGCGGAGCCGAGCTAGCGGCGATGACGCAACGCGGTTATGAATATGTACCAGCAAGCAATAACAAACGACGGAGCGCGAGAGAGACACGGCGGCAACGCGCGCACAAAAGCCGAGTGTGGGGCATTGTGCGCCGAGCCAGCTCGCGGCCTCGCGTACGTGCCGCGACTGCCGAATCAGCTCCGGCTACGCGGCGAGCTTTCGATTTCTCCGCCACGTGATTATCGCAGCGACGCCCACGTGGCTCTCTCTCTCTCTTTCGCGCGCGCCGCGCCATCGCTTGGAATGCGCGATATGGAATAAATAAAAGCGAGTCTGAGGGACAGGGAAAAAAAGCGAGGCAGAGGCGGCCCATTTGAACTTCCTGCATCAGTCGCGCGCACCGAGCTTTTTGCCGTGGAAGCGCGCTCCGCTGCGGCGAGTCATATAAATAAAGTGTCCGTAGGGCGCGTATTTTTCGTGTGCGCCGCATCACCGCGCCAGCCAGCCAGCAGTGCAGGAAGTCGATGCACTTCCAGAGGGTGCAACGGCATGGGAGCGAGCGAGTCGGAGCCGCATGGGATCGCGCACGGAAAGGAAAAGTGAGGTGTAGCTGTCGAGTGGCATTTGTTGCTTCTGCTGCTGCTCTGCTGCTGCTGCATTGTCAGGGGAGAGCTTTAACGGAATTTATGGTATTGTCTCCCTCTCCCTCCCTTCCTTGCTCCCTCTCTCGCTCTTTCTCTGTCTCTCTCTCTCTCTCTCTTTCTCTCTCACTCTCGGCCGCGTATTTCGTAGTATGGGTATCCGCTGCGGCTTCTTGCGTTTTACGGGAGGAAACACTGCACCGGATAATCGAAATTTTATGATGCCGTGCAGCCACCATTTTTTCTTCTTTTCCACGATCCCTCAAGAATTGTCGAGCGTACTTTCATTGCAACTATTCAGATGGCTAAAGTAACCAAAAATCCAACCAATTTTCGTCATTGTAATTCGAGTTGAAATTCATCCACACGAAAAAAAGAGCAAGCGAGTATGAAACAGCTCCGATGAAAGAGAGACCACCGGTTGATTCGACTTTGGCACGCGTCGAGCGGCAGCCGCTGCCTCCGTGCCGCGGCAGCTATTGCGTCGACGCTCTCAGCGGGATACCAGTGGACCCCCGCGAATATATCACAGCAAGGTCCAGGTATACGTGGCAGCCGATTATCTGTATTGTACAGGGCGCCGCAGGCGCCAGATTGGATCAGTCATCGCGCGACTTTTTTTTTTCCGGCGGCACGTCGTCGACGCGCTCGCGAGTGGGAGGTAGGTCGCGCGAGGAAAGTCAAGATGGCGTGACGCTGGGGAGAAAATGAAAAACGAAAAGCCAAAAAGAGAGAGAAAAAGAGCCGATGCATGAGTCACACGAAACTGATTACCGGCGCGGCGCGGCGCGGCGCGTTTCGTAACTCTGGAAATTGAGCGTTCCCACGATCACGGCCCGCGAACGGTCGGCGAAAAGTGCACTTGTGTCATTTGAGAATCAATAACTGGCTTGCTGGCGCACGGCCGTACTTAGCTTCTTGGTATAAAAGCGGGAGGGACTCGTTTCGGGCGAAATCGGCGCGGCCTGCAGATGAATTCCTAGATTCGCGGCTCATAAATATTAAAGCGGCCCCGGCGTTTTATATTTTCGTCCGATGCCCGCCGGCAGCGTGGCGGTGGCGGCGGGCTCATTGAGTATGCATCAGCGGCAATCGACAGCGCTCTTTGCGACGAGATGGCTACCGCTCGCTCGTACTTGGCATGCACGCGTCTTTTTGCTCGCCTTCTGTCATAAGCCTCATTAGCATTGATAATTCCGCTAAAGAGTGACCTACAGAATGCGTAATCTCTCGCTCAGTTGCCGCCGCCGCCGCCACTGCCGCCGCATTGCTCGCTTTCTTGCCCCGTATTTCGCACGCGAAGATGGTGAATGTCGCAGAGGTTGCTGCCGTGACGACGACCAACGACAAAAATCCGTCGGATGCAGTATTTTTCTCAACTCATAAAAATGTATCGTGCACACGCGAGGCTGTGCTTTCTCCTTTCCCCTTCTTACTCGAGCGACGGCTAATGTATTCTCTCCGAATTTTCACGGGCATTAGCATACGCGCAGTTTTTGCGAGAGCGAAGGCACAGGAGGATTCTAATTCTCGGAAGCGCGCGATAGGGAATCGCCGTTGTTCGTTGCCCTCGCGACAGGTGGCCCAGACGAGCCGCGGCGAACGTTGCGCGCCCAGGCCATCGCACCATGCCCGCTGCTCAGCGCTGCCGTCTTAGGCGCCAACTCCTAATGAGCCTTCGCGGCGCAGTCCCAAATTCCAGCGATTCTCACGCTTGCGAGTGGCAGGCCAGCATCGAGAGCCGATAAATCAAGTCGCTCGATCGTCGGCAGCTTTGTTTGACTCAACGGCACACGGCCGAGCGAGTGGCGGTGGCGCGCGCACGAAAAATGCCGCCGGTCGATCGCCGGACGAAAAGACTGCTCTCTAGATTAAAACATTCCGGCGCGCGCAGCTGCGTGCAGTATATATTTTGACAGCGGCTCGCAGTCGTGACTCGATTAACGCCCCTGCACAATGCAACTTCCTGCTCGCTAATGCCCGCGAAAACCCAGTTGGCGGGCAGCGCGCTCGACTCTCTTCTTCCTCTCGTTCACTCGGAGATTCAGCCGAGCCTCGCGATTCTCTCTCGCTCGCGCGTATAATGAACTCGTTTTGACATGACGCCCCGGCATCTCACTCCCCTCTCATCTCTGCTCTCTGCTCTTTTGTTCGTGCTTTCATTATATCGCCTCGCTGCTGCCCGCTCGCAGGCCAGATAGATAGAGAGCGCGAGAAAGCAGGAGAGGAGGCTTAGTTGATTAAAATAACTGTAAACTGGCAGCGCCGGCCGACTGCCGCCGCCGCCGCCGCCGCGCCTGATTGACGTATCAGCGGGCGAAAAAAGCGGCGGCCGCGGCGGCGCAATGCTCCCGCGGGGCGGTTACGCAATGGAGGCTGCCGCCGTTGGTTGCACAAACACCTCCGGCAGACCGAAAATTACGCTCGTCGCCTCGCGCTACGCGCGCTCCACATCCGCGCGGCCAATGCGCCAGTAGTGCGCACAGACACGCAGCGAGCGTACGCGTCACCCGAAGGCGATCGCGCGAACAATCATGTCAAACCGATGATCCGCGTGCCACAGCGGCGGTCCCGCCTGCCTAGCTGCACGTCGATTACAGCTCGCGGCTTAAGTAAGGACACGCCGCGTCACGCGCCCACCAATTAATGCTCAGCAGCACATCAGAGAATCGGTCCTCGCTTCTCTATCCGCGCTGTACTTTTCTATGCCGTGCTTGTACTCGACGGTTACCCCACGAGTACAGTGTACGCTCGAACCCGATACGCGCGCGGTGAACGTTATGGAAGCTAATCGATCGCCTCGACCCTTCTGTTGCAGGTCAAAATTTGGTTTCAAAACAGAAGGAGCAAGTACAAGAAGATGATGAAGGCAGCGCAACAGGGCGGCGGCGGTCAGCACGGCAGCCTACTCGCCGGTGGCACTGCGCTACCCGGCGGTCCGTCGCCGCAGCCCGGGCAGCCCGGTGGTCTCATGCAAGGAGGTACGACTCGCGAGAAGTTTTTGTTGAAAGAGAGTCGCACGCGACGCAAAAGCCTGCGACCGGTGCAGCGAGCAAACGTCGACGGAACGTTTGAAGAGAAGCAAACGTCCGTGTTGAATGTTGCAGGTGGAGGAAGCTCGGTGTCGGGCAGCCCGACGACGGGTTACCTGGGCGGCATGGGAGGCGGCGGCGGCCACACGCCGGGCAGCTCGAGCCCGGGCAGCGAGATGTCGCCTCAGCACAACGAGAGTCCCCCGGCGCCCGCATGGCCCGGCGAAATGAAGCACCATCCCCATCCGCACGCGCCGCCCCACAGCCATCACCATCCGCACACGCCGGGGCACCATCCGCCCCCGCCACCACCGCCTCCGCACCACGCCGGCTACATGCCACAGTACTCTTGGTACCAGGCCGACCCCAATCCCGGATTGCTCACGTAAGGTTCTGCACTTAACCATTATTTTTTTTCCCTACATTGCTATTAATCCGCAGCGTCGGCAGTATTTTGCTTGTCTGTGGTTTGTCTAACTAGTACTTTCATTCAAATAAATAGTCGGTATCGGCTGCTGCTTTACTTGTTTTATATAAATATTTATCGCAGCCCTGGAACACCATCGATACTAGAAAATGATGGCGTGGCGCGCTTCTCATTCGAATTCGCGGTACTTTGTCGGCAACAGGAGGTTGAAACGCTCTGCGCGCTGTTTTTCTGTTTCAGGGTGTGGCCGGCAGTTTAACGAAGCCGCCTGTTGTCCGGAACTTCAGTTTGAAAAGTGAAAGAGCGAGGCCTGCCTGAAAAGGAGAGGAAGCGTACGGTCGCCAGTGTCGCGCGCGCTGGCCATCGCGCGTATGCACGCGCATCGCGAGAGAGAAGGAGGCAATTTTGACGGAAACGAACGGAAACTCTGCAGCCATCGTGTACCTATGATATACGCCAACCAGTGCTGATTATAAATATTATACATAAGGCAAAGCTGCAGCTTCACTCGCCAAGCCGCGGCAGCGAAGTGTGATCTCGTGAATCGCGTACTATAGCTAAAAATGGAAGCGACGTCTTTTTAGGCGAATCACCACCGATACACATGGACATGCATCCACAGACTAACCAACCAACAAACATGAATAGTGAAACACACACACACACACACTCACCCACGCATACACACACACACACAGAGAAGTGACGTGGCGCGAGTCACGGACAATCAATGCGTGTACCAACGAATTATCTGGCGTGTGGTATGATGATATATTAATGTACAAAAGCGAGAGCGAGAGAGAGAGCGCGAGTAGACACTTGAGAGAATGTGTTGTCTTGTCTGTTTTTGCATTCTGAAGGAATTTCTTCGTTTTGTACGTAGGGAACGACGAACCTCGACGAACCGTTCGCGAAAATGACGCTCGTCACTCCGCGTTTCTGTCTCTCTCTCTCTCTTTCCTCTTTCTCTCTGCTCGCGAATGCATTTCTGTTCTTTTTTTTCGTTTAGCGGTTGTGCCGAGGATCGCGTGCATACGTGCGCACTGGTAGAAGAAATAACGCCTTGGATTCCATTGTAAATTTTTCAAAAAAAAAAAAAGAAAAAAAGGAAAAGAAAAAGAAGAATCAGAAAAAATAGTAATAAGAACGAAAGGAAAAAAATGGCATTGCGCACTGGGGAGAGAAACGCAGGCGGCGAGTTGCCTCAGAATCGTGACTTCGGCCCGCGAAAAATGAGAGTTGCACAAAATCTTCTTCGGCTTCTGTGCAACAGCGCGTAATGACATTTTCGTGAGCCGTCTGTGGCAACAGCCGGCAAGAGTGACGCAACGATCCGCGAGATGGAAGGAAGAGGCTGCAGCTACCGACTGCCGCTGCGGGGGTTTCGGCTTTGATATCGCGAAGCGAATCACGGCGAAAAATAAAGTGGCGGCGCGAGTCGGCTCGAGGTTGACCCAATTGTCACTCTCGAGACTCTCGAAAACTGCCGGTCCCTTTCTTCTCTCGCCGCGTGTACGTGTATTTGTTTCTTTCTCCTCTGTGTCGCGCTGCGCACGGAGAAATCGGCAATTTCATATTGAGAGCACCTTGCGAGAGCGCGACGTCAAATTGATAGCTGCTTATTTTGTTTTATCTTCCTTTCCTCGTGTAAAAAGTTTGGTTGGACTTGTAATTTTCGAGCGCTCAAGTGATATAAACGTGCGGCTGCAGGCGAGTGAGTGAGTGAGAGTGGTCCGTGCCGCTCGCGTCGACAATTTGCTCGCCATCTCTTTCGCGTGTAAGATGTACATTGTGTCTCCCTAGAGCTGCTACCGCGAATCGACAAGTGATATTGTGAATGTCGCGAGCTGTATAAAGATTTGAGGTGAGGCAATTCGCTCTCGGACGGAGGCGTGGTGCAGCGAGGGCGCTGTATTTCGGTGCAATAAATAATTAAACTTGACGAGAAAGAGCGATTCGTTTCTATAATGATCGAAGACTCTTTAGTTCCTACATACACGATGAAAGAGAGAGATCGCGAGCGGATGAATAAATGCGTATGTGAATAAACAATTGTGCGAAAAATGGAGAGAAAGAGGAAAGAGGAGTTGCGGAACGAGTCGTAGAATTTTAAATAGCGTTACTAGTCCCGGCGCCAATCTCTGAGGAGCGAATCGATTTGACAATTCGATTTCGATTTCAAACTGCGTGTAAATATTATTATATATTAATTGAGCGTCGGGACCAAGTTCCCCTCAAAAACCCTTAAAATTTCAACCCCGTCCCTCCCCCCTTCTAGCAAGTAAGTTGTAAGTGGATCTGTGTAAAATATAATATTGTGATAAGAAATGTAAAAAAAATAAAAAATACACACTACACATACATTCACGCAAGAATTATGGATGAAAATGAAAAACAGCGATTCGTTATTCTATTTAGGAGAAAGTATGGACAACAGCTTCGTTCCCTAATTATCGATTTTACCGAGAACGACCCTTGTACGAAATATAGATTACGAACTACCTTAATTATGATTAATATTGTATAAATAATGAATAATATAACTAATTCAATTTAATTCTTTGACTTGATTTTTCACTGGAGCCTATTTTTCCACGTCCTTTCTTATAATTGTTGATTCCCTTCGGCGGACTCTTTTCGCACTACGCAGTACCACCTGCCACTGCGTCTGCTCCACTTTTCTCCTCGTTTATTTCTATAACATATCTTGTATAGCGAACTAAGATGATCTGAACAAGAACGCTTTTAATCGCTTTGGAAATCGGAGAAATCAATTTTGCGTTCGTTCCTCGCAATAAAATTAATGTGGTATTGTAATCTAATCGATAGTGTAAACTGGGAAATGAAAAAGACACTTTGCCAACACTTATTGATCATTCGCACTTACATGCCTATCTGCGATCTCACGAGTATAAATCTACCGATAGCGTATCTACCGCGTTGTACCGATCAATTGAATAATTAATCAAGAGATTTATCAATTTGAAAACACACTGGCAGCGATAGCAGCGATAGCGCACTGCACCGCTTGGAAAATTTTACGGAAAGAAGTGGCGTGTGGCCACGCAGTCTAGCTCTGCCTGTCCCGGAATCACGCACCGCCAATCGCACTCAACTTAATCCGGGAAATCTTGGAGATGCCAAGGAAAAATCAAGCAAACAAGTGTCAAGTTGCAGCGATCCACGTATGAATGCGCGTATCCGACACATTGTCCACTTGCCTTGCGCAGGTACAGCATCGTAAAAGGAAGAGAAAGAGAAACAATAGGGAAGGAGCGATGGAGCTACTACCGTGTGTGTGCCGAAGAAGAAGACGACCAAACAACGCACTCGACTGGTAATCTTTTTAAGGGTTTCAGGGGCCTCTTAGGGGATGATGTGAATACATGCGGCGGCGCCTTCCAGTCGAGAGGATCCGCTCAACTCTCCATTGTGGCCCATTATGCCGGCGCGCTTTTTGTGTGTCTTCTTCTTCTATCGAGACTTCTTTCGCGTGCATTGTCGAGCTTGTGTATAGGTAGCTACGCGCGTGCTTGCTTTCTTTTGCCCATCTCTCGGGCGCTTCACTCCACTCTGATGCTTCGTGGGCGCATGCGAGAGGATGAGTTTACGATTGGCAACCGCAATGCGTGTGATGGCTTTCATTGTGAGCCTACCTTTTTCCGTCGACTTGCTCTTCGAACGACCGAAATGAAATCGGCCCGGCAAATATTTGCTCGCAGATTAGCCGTTATTTGCATGTGAGAATAATCTAGCGACCAAATCTAAAAGTCAAACGTATCGGTTACGCCAGATAAACGGTCCTTCTGGGCAAACGCGCTCTCGACAGCATCGGCCAACGAGTCAAACATGCCTAACCGTCAACACAAATACAATAATAAAAAAAGGAAGAAAGGAATTGCATTAAGTCGAGAGAGTAGTCGTGGAGAGTGGCACTTGGAAATCTCCCCTCGGGTGAGGCGGCAGCAGCAGTCCAGACAATGTATTACAGCTCGGATTTCGGTGTAATCGGCGTTATCGCTCGGTGAGATCGGCCATGTGGGCACAATGAGTCGTTCGTTCTTGACTCGAGCTGCTCGACTCATATGTGTGTACACATGTGTACACTCGGCGAGCAATTAGTATTTAACCCACATTAGATTCGTTGGCCTTTGGCATTTGTCGGACAGCGACGACGACGACGACGACGACGACGACGACGACGACGACGACGACGACGTTTCCGTGCGGATGCTCGTCTTTTTATTGGCTTTATAAATCACACGGCTGCGCGTGCGCGCTTTTAATTGAGACAAATGCTCGGATTCGGTGAATCGAGCCTTTCACCGCCGGCTTCTGCTACGCACGTTTTGCTCGTCGAGGCAACTTTCTTCATTAATTTATCAGACATCGTAATCCACGTTCGAAGTGTGACGCTCTCGTTCGTTGGAAAATCAGCCATTGTCGATAAGATTCCCGGTCGCAATTTAGCCGCAGCGGGCAATTATCACTTAACTCGAACGAAATTCAGCGACGGCTGACCGACCGTGGCCATAGTTGGGCGCGCGTGAGACAATGCCGAGAGCGGATGGAGTCGATGCTACTTGATTATAAACGGCCTGGGACGGCGAGGTTGCTGTCGCAAGACGCTAGTGATGATGATTTATCGAATGAGTAGGTATGCCAATGAATTTATTGGACGAATCTCGGCTGCTGCGAGGCCGAATTGGATTACGCTTGATTAAGCGTCCAATATCAGTGTCGTCGTCGGAGCGAGATTGAATAATGATCAACAAAGCATAATCCCTCGTTAGGGCTGGAGCTGCAGCGGCGGCGGCGGCGGCGGCTGCGACGACGGCAGTGGCAGCAGCTCGTGTGTCGCCCGGGCAATTTGCAATTCCGCGCGCGCTGCTCGTCGCAGCTGGGGCGTGGCACGCATGCGACGCCGGGGTGGCTCGTTTGCGCGACATTGTCGGCGACCCTTGCGCGCCGTGGCGTACGCCCACCCCCGTGCCACTGGCGCTGCTCGGTTGTGCCGAGGGAGCCAAAGGAGTCTGTGCGCCGTACGCGCGCAGATCTGTTATGAGACTGCTCGCTCGTTGTCCTCGTTAAAGCTGCGCCTCGCCTCTCCTTTCTTTATGCTATTCTTCGCCGAGCCGGGCTTCTTTAGTGGATTTACACTCCGATGCATTGTTCAAAAGTCCGCGTGCAGTCCCATAGTCAGCTGTATTTGGAGAGCCGAACTGGAAATCGATCGCTGTTCGCGCGTCGCCACTACAGGGACATCGATTAGCCCTAGTAGCCGACGTGTCGTTAGGATTGCTCGCCATTTCCGCGTCAACTTTTTAATGCCGCATCTTGGACAATGCCAGCTGATCGTTGGTCAGAAATCCCACTTGCAGGCTGAGAGCAAGAGCATCGGTTTAATGTTATTTTCTCGGTAATTAACCGGGAGAACGGGGCAGGGTAAATGATCCATCTAAAAATGTCGAACGATCGCGATAAGGCGTTTCTCCGAGCTGGCATTGTCGCGGAGTGAAAACTCGCGAGCGGGTCTCTGAACGGAGTTACAAAGCAGGCGGCAGCGCGGTATATCTGTGAATTAGCGCTGCAAGAGTCGCCACGTGGCCACGGTGGCGGCGGCAACCCTTGCAAGGTATACACGATCCGCTGGGCGGGGTCGGGTGCGTGCTTTGTGTCCTGCACACGCACACGCAGGCAGGCGCGCGCGCGCACCTGGACGAAGATTTTTGTCGTCGTGCGTATCGAGTTCGCGTACGTACGTACCAGCCAGCCCTTCCCGACTCGTTCAAGACGAGTGGCGAAATTACTTGGAGTGCTCGCCGCGTGAGAAAATATTGACTCTCCATCACCTTGCTCCTTCGTTGTACTTTATTGAATTATCGGCAAAGGCCGAGTTTGCCGAAAGCTGCCTACTCGAGGTCCTACAGTTCGAGAGTACGCTTGTAGGTGATGGGAGAGCCCATGCTTGACTGCAGATTCCCGTACTTGTGATGGCAAAAAAAAATACACACACTAACTCGAGTTTTCTAAGGCCGAGCCACTCGTTCCGCGCAGTTTGCTTGACGCAGTCAGCTTTTACCTTTTTTCCCACAGGCGACCGTTGCCGCTTCTGACGTGTTATCTGCACTGCGAATCTCTAGCTGAGCGAAAATAAACAGATTTCGAGCGTGGGTGGCCGATGTCGAGACAAGCCGCGTGACCCTCTGACCCAGTGGTCCCACTGACACTAATCCCGGCCTAAATTGTTATCTTTCCAAGCGGAGATTTTATCGATCACGGGCCCAACGAGTTTTCTCAGAGCTTCCAAATTTTCCGTAGCATCATTTATGTCCCTTGAGAGAAGGTATCCCCTTGCAGACTGCGATGGTCATTTATCAATTATCAAATTGGACGTTTTTCCGGAGTGAAAGGCTTAACACGTTCTTAAGTGTGACGACCTGCTGTGAGAATGAAGTATTAGATGCCATAATTCAGAATTAGGACTAGGGGATAAAATAAGCATATTAACGCAAAAATCATGCTCGAATAATTTTCTTCCATCAATAACAAAGGTAAATGAGTGGACAGCTCTCGCAAGGGCAATAGCAAATGGAAAATTGATTACCAGCTCGTTAGCTGCATGACGAGCTGTCGCGCCCATAAAAGATGTAGCGATTTTTCCTCCCTCGCACTCTAATTGTCGGTGTCAGTGAACGAAAAGAAAAAAAAATACAATGAAACTAAGGCTCGACTGGTCTTTCATTATCTCTTGCGGGATGTATATTAATGATATTATTACACGAGCGCGCGAGCGCGAAAGCCAGCTGCGATTAAGCTGGTCCGCTCGTTCTCTCGGCGTCTAACACCGCTTACATCAGCCGCAAATAATCGATGCAGCTGTAATAAAACCGAATTCCTCCACCAAGTACGAGCTCATTGATTACACGTTAATGTCGGATAATCAATGCGCGTGCACATGTCGTTTGCCTGAACGAAACTTGGATGTAAACAAGGTCGTTTGACATGAGAAATGATTGAAATCACATTAAACATATACAAATCGTTGATGAATGCTAAACCAGCTTCGTATCGATGGTAAACACTTGTATGTAAAAGGATATACATGCACGCATTTAGTATCCCTTGCCGGCTGCGAAAGTATAGAAGAAGCGATGGAATAGATCAACGAACGGAAGGACGGATCGGCCAATTACGCATTGAATAAATAATCCGAGTACACGAGACCCGAGCTTACTTTTTCGCCGACATGTAATGTTTTAGCGAATGCGTATCGACTATTCGCAAAAACTGAGCTCTATTTGTTATGGGCGTACACAAACACGTGTGATTTTCTTACTTCTGTTGGTTTGCTTAGTAATATCGACTCGATTTGCAGCTTAGCTTTGTACAAAAGAAACAACCTGACATTTTCGTCTGAATATAGCTATTATTTGTTTTTACGAACGAACGAATGAGAAAACAACAGCATATCCACAATTACTGCACGATGCTACTTTGCTACTT